GATTTGACGACTTGTTATTTATTGGATTTTATGTTTCAGGTTTTCAAGCTTATTTGAGATATTATGATCAGAGATTATAATCGGAAATTATAACAGGTAAGTAAACAGCAAGCTGTTGTACTGTATTAATGATTGTAAAATTTTATAATAATTTAGACAGAATAATATGATTCCTATGAACGGAATTATTGATGCATCAAGTACTATCCATTGAGCATAACTAGTGTTGCCTATCTTAATATTAAATAAGATTTTAAATTGCATCACAGGCAAATATAAATTTATCTTAACAGGTAAATAGAAAATCACACTAGCAAACTTTATTAATATTCACATCTGCTTACAAGATGAAAAACAGGGAGATAATACAGAGAAGGATATTACATGAAAACAAGAAATAAAAACAGAGACGGATAAAAGGAGCGGAATAAGACAGAGAGAAAGTTAGAATAAAAGACTTACTGAGCACATAAACAGTAACTGGAAAATAATTTCCAGTGATGAGGGCAGTACGAAGGTAAATCTTTGATATTACAGTCACACATAAGTATAGAGTAAGGTAAGAGAGAACCTGGTTGAGCTATGAGGGCAAAGATAACTTCAGATAGGGACGGTATGAGCTGTTGCAGAGATTCGATTGTGATAACAGGTTTGTTGAGGTTCAAGGTTCAGAGGTCTGATTCAGAGGTTCAGAGGTCTGCGAAGGTTCAGAGGTCTGCGAAGGTTCAGAGGTCTGGTTCAGAGGTTCAGAGGTCTGCGAAGGTTCAGAGGTCTGCGAAGGTTCAGTAACAGGGTTAGGTTGCTGAGGCTTAGTTGCAAAAATTTAGTAAAGGTTGCTGAGGCTTAAAGGTTGAGGAAGAGGTTCCAGGAGGCTCAGAGGTTGTCGAAGGCTCAGGGGTTTCTTAGGCTTGAAGATAGGAGAAGAGGTTAGGCCCTGCCTTCAAGACGAGAAGGGGCTTCCCTTTTATAAGGCTTGAAGGGAATCTTTTAGGCTCAGATGGACCAGCTGGCAAAGCATAGTCGGTAAGAGAAGACAAAAGAGAGAGGGTGTCGGCAGAATGCGACAAAGGAGAGAGGACAGAGTGTCGGCAAGATTCGACAAAGGAGAGAGAGAGAGAGATGCTAGTGGACAAAAGTATGAGCATAAGAGGATGCCCTTTGTACAAAAAGACAAAAATAAAAAAGTAAAAGCATCTATGCACAGTGGCTCTTTTGGCCTTATTACACGTGGAGTACAGTGTTTGCTGTCGGTGGTGGGACCTTTGTTTGTCCCATATGATGTCTTGTTATTGTCGCTTATTGCTTATGGATGGTGATGTCTTGGATGATGGATTCATGGTCTCTGACTGAATTCTTCTGGATCATCCTCTTCCGGATCCGTTTCTTCTGGATCTGTTTCTTCTGGATCCTTTTGACTGAGTTGGAGGTACCTATTGGTGTGTAATGGGGAAGACTGAACTGTTTCTTCGGAAGATGTGGGTTTTCTTCCTGTTTCAGCAAAGATTTCTTTCATTTGTTTCTCCAGTTCTTCTTTGGAGGCATGTGGGTTGGTTTGCAGCATATTTCGAAGGTAGGTTGGAAAGTCAAAAGAAGTGTTTGGAGTATTTGGGTTTTCCTGGTATATAGGTGTTTTAGGTGGTATTCTTTTTGGAGTGGCTTTGGTGAGATCCATTTGAAAGATATCCCACCATTTCACAGAGATGGTTTTTCCCAAGCGTGAGATGTATGTATAATCATTGGAAGTATTGGGTGATATGGTATAGTCCCATTTCATAATCCAAGGGATTTGATACAGGGCCATGAAGTAAAGGTGAGTGTCAACTGAATTATTGATATTATTGTATTGTATAAATTGCTCCTGCAACTCCTTAAAAAGCAGGAGGTAAAATCATAGCAGTTGATCCCCACACGAAATACCAGTTTTGAAACCAAGTGGGGAACCTTTCAAAAATTGGTAGCCGGAACTGTAAATACCAGCTATGAGTATTGTTAGGGTTTTGATAATAGAAAAATTTGTGCCAAGCCTCTATGTACTCAGCATATTTGAAATACTTATAAGAAAATTCAGAATTTTGTAATTTCTTTCCTTGTGCTTGATTAGAACCCCACTCAGTATAAGGAAGAAGTTTCTTTATCTGTACTTTGGAATAGGCTATGATTCGGGTATTCTGTTGAAAGTAGTGGACAACAGAGATGGACTCTGTTTCCATTAGAATGGCTTCGTAATACTCTCGGGTCTTAACCCCATTTAAGATGATTTAATAGGTATAATGGTGCAAGCTTGCTTGGATCCATGTGAACCTGATGTTCATCAATGGTAATATCCATTAAAAAGGCTCTTTCAATGTATTCTGATCTTGGAGTGTTGGTAGGAAGAGTGGATTTGGACTGGGCTGGTGAAAATGTAGGAGTTGAAGTTCGTGCTTCTAGGTATGTAATTTGATGACCTGGGGATTGAGATGGTGAACGAATATTCAGGGGTGAAGGTTCCCCTTCATATGGGACTAAAGAATGCATGGGTTGTTTTCCCCGGCGAGTATTGCCTCGGGAGCCCATATTTAAGGATGAAAGATCCTTATCAGATAGGTTATCTTGGAATAATTGAAGTGCAAGTGAAAGTGGTGATTCGTCGTTGGCGTCAGTGTTGCCCCCCTGCAAAAATTCACGGGTCAGAAATTCGGGTAAAGAATTAGAAGACCCGGGAAGATGTTCAATAGAGAAGTCGAAGGCAGAAAGAATAGCCTGCCAGCGGGCAAATATTGGTTTAGAAATCAAATTTTTAACATCTTTTTGCAGAATATCTTTGGCTGCTTTGCAATCTGTTCGTATAAGAAAATGTGGGTTTAAAATATCACTTTGAAACTTTGTGACACAATGAACAATGGCTAATAATTCTTTTTTGACCATTGAGTAATTCAATTGGGTTGAATTTCAAGCCTTTGATGTGTAACGTAATAATTGTTCTTTGGAATCAATTTTTTGTTTTAATATGCTACCAAGTCCTTTATCAGAGGCATCACATTCAATAATTTTAAAAGCAGTAGGATGTGGAAGAGAAAGGCATTCAAGGGTTTTGACCTTACTCTTTATAACCTGTATTGCTCTTGTATGAATATCAGACCAAGGAAGAGGATTCTTCTTGAGTCTATCATATAATGGTTTAGAATCCAATGCAAGAATAGGGTAAAAATCACTAACATAATTGGGGCATCCTAAAAACCTCTGTAATTCAGTTTTATCAAGAATTTTATCAGGAAATTTATCAGCAAAAGCTATAGATCTGTCTATTGGGATAATAGTGCCGTGATGAATCATGTGGCCTAAAAACCGAATATTGGTTTTGAAAAGTGTGATCTTTTTGGTAGAAACAACTAAGCCTGCTTGGCTTACAACATGGATAAATGTATTTATATGTTTAATGTGTTGGTCTATGGATTCAGAGAATATTAAGACATCATCAATATAGACTATCATGAAATGGTAGTAAGAGTTGAATACATCGTTCATTATTTTTTGAAATTCTGATGGTGCATTCTTTAAACCGAAAGGCATTACATTCCATTCGTATTGACCAAATGGAACATTAAATGCAGTTTTATATTTATCTTGTTCTTGGATCTGGATTTGCCAGTATCCTGATTTCATATCAAATTTTGAAAATATACATGCTTGAGCAACTCTATCTAATAAATCTTTTTTATTTGGAATTGGGTATCTTATCCATTTTAACACTTTATTTAATGGTTTATAATTTATAACCAGTCTAGGAACTCCTCTTTCTTTTTCAGCATTTTTATTAACATAAAAAGCTGCACAACTCCAAGGTGAAGAACTTGGTCGTATGAGCTTTCTAGATAGGAGTTCTGCTATTTCTTTTCGACACATTTCTAATAAAACAGTATTCATTTGTATTGGCCTAGCTTTGGTAGGGATTTGGTTTTCAGTGAAGTTTGATTCATATGGTAAGCTTATACTGTGTTTTTTCCTATCCCAAAAAGCATTAGGATGGCCACTACATATTGATATTTCTATTTGTTTTTGTAGTGAGTGAATTTTTTGTTGTATTGAAGGCGTTTGTATTTGGTCTTCAATTACTTTATATTTAACTTCCTGTTTAAGTGTACAAAGAAATTTTTCTTTGTCTTTCAACTGGTTTTTGACATTATTCAATTCTTTTAATTTAGGTTTACGTATGAAATTGAATTGTATTGGAATATTTTGAATTATTGATGAAATTCCTGTTTCATCTATGGTTATAGGATACAGCAATGTTAGGAATGGAACTCCTAAGATTACTGATTGACTTAACCCTTTAACCATGATAAATGGTGTATCAATAAA